TGCCTTGAGAAGGTTCTGGTTGTAAAACAAAGTATTTAAGTGTCCTTCCAACTCTGAGCTTAATAAGAAAAGGATCATTGTAGACTTCCATCAATATTTAATAAATATAAAATCAAGATTTGACTAGATAGAAAGACAAGAAAGAAAGACAAGATTTGACAAGATAGAAAGAAAAGAAAATTTGACAAAACTATCCCACTTCTGTGGATAATTAGGCAAAGTACAACTGCTCTGTATTGCATAGTATCCTCTGGTGAAGGAGACATGTAAACATGGTGCTGGGTGGTGGTCCCCTAACACCTGGAAAGGTTCTGGTCTTTGGGCCACAAAATGAGATAGCAGGACCTATTTTTTAGGTTAGCAGATCTAAATATTGGCAGATAAACATCACTGCAAACATCAAGGGGGCATGACTATTCAACCTAGATGCTGCAGTCTGTGCAGAGGGTTTTATTCACGGGATAGGATTGTGGTTGGGAGCACCTGCTCTTGTCTCCCTCGTGCTTTCATCACACGCCACCTCTGGTTGGCAAAGAAGATAGGCTATAGTGTCAAGCAGCATCAATTTATTTGTAAGCACTCTTGGTAAGCAATTGCAATCTGCTTCCGCCTTAAACTTGATCAAGTCCTATGCCTAAAATCATTGCTTTGGAGCATATGGAATAGACTGATAGCCACCAGCCTGCCCTAGGATTTGCATGTTGAAAGGTGGCTATTTCGTCCTGAAGCCAACAAAATAGAATCCTAAAAAGAAGCATGCTGGGCCAGCTGTAAATGTCTGTGGAGCCCAAACGTGTGTCTTAACAATGCTCTCACCACTCTGATCCACTCACAACTGGGGTAGGGATTGAAGGCCGGCTTTTCATAGAACTTTCACTGACAGACACCTCATGTGAAGGACGGTCTAGTAGAGCAGGGCCAGCCATCAACATTGCCATTTGGGGCATTTGTTAGAAGACGCCAGCACTTGGTATGTGGCATTTACATGAAACCCCCAAAGAGCACTCGTTGGCTAAAGTAAATTTAATTTTAGTAATATACCAAACAAAGGCCCTAGACAGTGACCTGCACGTTAGAACTTAAGGAATACCAGAAATTAAATGGAAATGCTGCCTTTCCGCCCTAAGCTCACACTTCCAACTTGAAGTTGTCTGTAGAGTGGTTGAGACATGGTGACAGATTAGGGACATGGTGCACAGATTCATCTAGAGGCTCTTCCTTGAGAAACCATGTTCTTCAAACCCCTAGGAATTGTCTGAGCTGTACTCTTTTCTGCAGAAGAAAGAAAAGGCTGAAGGGAGAAGAAAGGTGCTACAAACACCTCTCATGTGCCTTAGCCAGTTTTGCTCAGGGGTTAGAGCCAGAGGACTGTAGGGCCGTGGGTTTGATTGCAGTCAAGGGAATGTACCTTGGTTGCAGGCTCGATCCCCAGCCCTGGTCAGGGCGAGTGCAGGAAGCAACCAATCAATGTGTCTCTCTCATATTTTTCTCTGGCCATGATATTCCTGTTCACTAGGGTAGTACAGGACCAAGTTTTAAATAGGTCACTTTCTATCTGGTTCAAATTTTATGTTGGCCAAATGATGGGAAAATACTGGGTAGCCCAGGAGACCCTGTGAAACAATCTTACTGTTCGGGTCCTTTGGAGTTACAGTGGGTGTATGCTGTAGTGGCTGGGGGAAGGGGAGGGGGGATGTTGGGTATCCCAGCTAACATTTTAGCCAAACAGAGGACTGTTGGAGGCCTTCTCAGAGGGTACTCACAGACTTCTCCGGAGAGTGTGATTTGGGAATTAGGTACCTTGATTGCAGGCTCGAATGTCTTGAATGTCTCTTTACCGAGGTATATTGTATTCACTGCTTTATATCTCTGTCAATGGGCCATGAGGGAACACAGGTGAGAAGACAGATTAAAATAAAAAGGTATATTATTTTAAAATAAAATAGAGTCTAGCATAGAATAAATGCATTCAAATTTCCCGCTGCCCCACCACTATAAATTTTATATCTTTTTAATATTTTGTAATGCTTTAATTACAGTAGACATTCAATGTTATATTAGTTTTAGGTGTACAGCATACTACACCTAAACAGCTAGACATTTATATAGCTTACAAAGCGATCCCCTAATAAGTCTAGTACCTATCTACATATTTATTACAATATTATCGACTATATTCCCTCTGCTGTACTTTACATCCCCATGACTACTTTGTAACTTCCAAGTTGTACTTCTTAATCTCTTCACCCTTTTCACCCTTTTCACCCAGCCCCAACCCTCCTCCCATCTGGAAACCATCAGTTTGTTCCATGTAATTATGAGTATGTTTCTGTTTTATTTATTCTTTTATTTTGTTTTATAGATCCCACTCTGTTCTCTTTTTGAAAGTATATTGTCTTTAGCAGGCGGTTTATTTTTCTCCTCAATGTAAGTGTAGGTAGGAAGGAATAGGACTAGAAAGAAGATGGATGAGGGGGGAGGAGGAGCAGACAGACACTTAGCGGCAGGTGGACACTTTTTAGGCCTGACGACTCTCAGAAACCATTTACCAGGCAGCTCTAAATCACAGTCAAGAGATAGGTGCTGCTTCAGTAACTCAGGTATCACGGTTGAGAGAGGCAAATATGTTTTGTATAACTGGGTGTGTGCTGTTTCTCAGGGTTTCTTTGTTCTGAAGATCATCCAGAGATGGGTTCCATGGTCTTCGAACACTACAAAATCATAGAATACTTTCTAGGAAGAGGGTCCATGGCTCTCATCAAATTCTCAAAAGTATCCATAATACAAATTGTTTGAGAACTTGATGCTGGATTTTCAGGAAGGGACAAGGGTGGGAAGGAAGATGTTCTTCATAGGAGAACATTAGAGTAAAATATATTCCGTCACATTATATAATGGGTGATAACCGATAGCTTAAAAATAATTTTGGATTTTAATATTGAGTCTATTTGATGACGTTTAACTTAACTTTCCCCTAAATTTCTAGTCAAATTACTTTAGTTTAACTACCCCATCCCTATTCTTACTGTTTTAATGCATCAGCTAGTTCTAATCAATAGCATTTTCAAAGGTAAAATATTTCTAAATTTCTGTGCCATTTCATTGTTTACAGCAACAGTTTCTGTGTAGCTTATCACCTTTGTGAGAAGTATCATGAATAGTATTTCATACTTGGTAGCCTTTCAGGTTTTACTTAGTATTAGCTAAATCCAAACCCAACTAAACTGACTTACAGTTTCAAGATGACAGATACATATATTCATGTCCCATTTTCCTTTCAAAAATCACCCCCAAACAGGGAGAAGAAGAAACAAACATAAATTCCACCTGTCATAGAATCTTAATAACTGAAGGGAGAAAATGGAGGGAGGGTGGTTCATAGCTTAGCAGAGAAGAGGAAAGTCCAACCCAGGTGCCTTCAAGGTGAGTGGGTAGAGGAAGGGGTACACATAAGAAATAACAGCCCCCAGAAGCTACCAGAACTCAGGAACTGGAGGTGTCAGATACCACAGAAATGGGATGTGAGGGTGATGAAAGTCCCTGTCTCCTCTCCATGTAGTCAGAGGACTCCTCTTCTCTCACCTATTCAGGAAACCAGAGCATTTGCTGGAGAAACTGAACCCCAGATGTGGGGACAACAGCAACCGAAAAGTTGGGGTGAGATGCACCCTGAAAATAAGAAAATTAAGTGAAAGTCTATATTCTCAAAGGTGAAAAGCTACCTTCTCTTTTCTCAGAATGCCAAACCTGTGTTTGTACCATTTCCAAACAAGAGATTGAAAAGTCCAGAGGAAATGAACTTAGAGATGGACACGTGGGGATCTCAGCCAAAAGCCAGCTGCCCATCTGCTTGCCCCCTGATAGGGGCCCAGCAATCTGCAGACCCTCTCCTCACACCCTGGTGTGTGGTGAGCTCTGCATGCTTTACTCATGTGTGTGAACTACCAGGCACTTGTGGAAACCACTAAACACAGAGAAAAAGAGCTCAGTGGAAACAGGCAATCAGGGAGCAGAGAGAATTTCAGAGAAATAATATCCTCAAAAAATAAAAGATGATAATGCATCCAGAAGAGAAGAATAGAATGCTATTAGAATAGGAACAGAGACCAAAAAAATGCTTCTAGATGAAAAATATTATTACTCATAGAAAGTAAGAAAAAGTCAAGGTGGGCAATGGGAAAAATAAAAAAGACAAAACAAGGAAATCAATACAAGAAGTCCGGTGTCCAACCAACTGGAGTTCCAGTCAAACAGGACAGAAAACAATAGTGAAGAGAAAATTATTAAGAAACTTATAAATAAGAATGTTGTACTGAAGAAATCACACCACACCTATGTTCTCCACAAGCAAGCTGCAGAGGATAATAAAGAATTCCAACGATACTCCAGCTGATCCTCAATCTGGTTGCCTAATCATGACATGCACTGCCTTATTATCTGTATGAATGTAATCTGTCTGCCAAACTAATATGAATGCACTTACAGAGTAACATCTAGAATATCATCAAGTAACCACTTCAGCACTTCTAAGTTGCTTCTTTTAATATTAAGGGGTGGGAGCGTTTTCTTTTGCAGGTTTCCATTTGATGGGCACCTGGTGGATATAACATTCAGTTCTAAATTCACAGCCCCCCTCTCCCCTACCGCGAGATGCTCATCATTGAAATGTAGAATCACAGAACACAGTTTGCTCCGGGCCTTTGTCAAACCGTCGCTGTATCTGGATAGTGCAGCCTCTTCTCTAAAAGGGGCACACAACGGTCTGAACTTTGTTCTGGCAGGCCAGCATGGGGCAGCTTGACAGGGAGCTAATCCATCACTGTGGGATCAGGGCTGTGCAAGTGGCCACCCAACTCACCGCCATCTGAGGGGGGGTGGCAGTTAATCATTTCCTTAACTGATGTGGGTATGAAAACAGAGCTGATTATTTCTGGGCAGACGAACCTTATCCATCGTCCCTGCCCTGGGCAGTGACTGTTGCCATTTTCTCTTCTTCCCAGACCGCTGGGTTTCAAGAGATTCTGACCGAGGTGGAAATTCTCGCGGTGATTGTGGGATGCCTGTGTCATGACCTCGACCACAGGGGAACCAACAATGCCTTCCAAGCTAAGTAAGTGTTCTAATTGTTGTTATTTTAATGCATGTGCCTTTCTGTTCAGAGCCAAAGGTGACCGGCGCTAAAGAGTAAGGCATTAATTTCTGGTATCTGAGGCCGAGGCCATGCAGGCTTGGGCTCGTGTGCCAAGGGGCCCATCCATCTTTATAATTCCCTATTCTTCTTTTAATTGCAAATTTGCCCTTCATGTCATGCTTGTTGATTTGGTCTGTCTCCCTTGAGCTCAGTCAGATAACAAAGCAGATCTTAAAGGGCCTATTTTTTCCTCCAGAATATTTGTTTTCATGGCATTTGTAAGCCTTTTGGACTTGCTGCACTAAAATCTGATCTTAAGACTATTAAAAGAAAATTGGACTTAAGAATTTTTAAATTTTATGAGGCAAAATAGCTCTTCTTTCCCCAGTAAAACCCCTTCCAGGTGGCTTGCTTTTTTTGTTTGTATGTTTGTTTGTTTGTGTTTTGTTTTTAAGTTGGATAGCATATAAATAGCATTGATAGCAATGCTAGAGGAATAAGGCCTCTGCTTCTCCAACAGAAAGGTAGGAAACAAAGAGAGATTGCATCCATACTGGGCATGTGAAGGCACATAATGTGCACTGGACAGAATAATCTGTCCTTCAGCATCTTGGACTGGTCAAGATAGCTGTGGCTTTGTGGCTCACACAGTGGCCAAAGGCATAGAATATGGGTGCTGGAAATAAGGCCCAAACCCAGATCTCCCAAGTCTTATATTGAGGCTCCAGTTTTAATGTTCTTACTACCTATCTGCAGACAAAATGTTATGTGAGTTCAGAGGCTGGAGAGAAAAGTTTGGGGATGGAGATGTCAAGAAAGTGGTATAATTAACTTTCAGATGACCGATTTCGAAGTCCCCTGGCAGGTGTACCCTCATAATCTAAAACGTCAACAGACCACATCCCTTTCTGTTCCTCAAAATGCTTACCTATTGATACCTTGGCGTCCTGGCCACTGACATTTGCTCCTGATCTAGCAAATGGATTTTGACTGTGTGCCTTTCTCTATTCATCCTGGGTCTTACAGCCCATCACTTCAACCCTGCCTTCTCAATATCCTGTAGTTTCTTGACACTTAACTTTCTGTGACATCCACGCTGCAAAAACTCAGCCCCAGTTCAATCTAGCAATTCAATTTCATGTGACTCTGCCTACACTTTTAAAGGCTTTAGTAGAAAATGTCATAATTGTGGGAGTTTGAGATACACCAAATATATTCTCCCAACTGGCATTACTAGATGCTCAGTATTCCCCAGATTCTGTATCCCCATTGCTCTCAGAATGTCTATATAATAAACACTCTCCTTTCCTAAACCATCTCCGGTAGATCACCTCCCCCATTCCCCTCATAAGATCACCTTGCCTCCTCCTTCACCAAGAAAATTGAGGCCATCAATCGAGAACTCTCAATTTCCTCCCCTGCCATGCACAAACTTATCTGTGTGGCCCCATCCTTTCCTCCTGACCTCCTATCTCAATGAAAATGCTGTCTGTCCTCTTGTCTGACGCTAATCCTTCCACCTTGGCTTTGGATCCCTTCCTTGCTTGCTCCTCTGAGACCTTGCTCCATTAATCTTCCTCTCTCTCTGCCCTGTATCTCCCTTCCCCTTCCAACTAGCTCTCAGCATCCTATTAATATGAAAATCCTCCCTGCCCCCCTTCTTGAAAAAGTCCACCTCAATTCCTGCTTCTCCCTTTAGCATCTGCTCTATTTCTCTTCCTTTCCAGTCAGTCTTCTTGGAGAGTCCATTATCTTCACTTCCCCAATGTCTGCCCTCCCACAGGGCAACCAGTTTCACCTCACAAGGAGAACTGCCCCCAGTAATGCCATCAATGGCCCCTTTTCCCAGAGCTGCTGGACACTCTTATTGTTCTTCTTTCTTGACCCTTCTTGCCACGAAACCCATTTTTTGCTCCCTTCTTCCTAGAATGTTCTCTTCCCTTGCCTCCCAGACAAAGGATTTCAACTACCTTTCTAGCCTTCCTTCTCAGTGTGCTTCAAGGCCTGTTTCCTCCTGTCCCAGCCAGCACTCCTGATGTCCTCTCCTGTTTCTCTCCTGCTCTACATGATCCTTCATGCAGGCCTTCACCCATCTGCTGATCAGCTCTAAACCCAGATCTTGGATCCATAATTCTCTTCTTCCAGACACCGATTCCAACCACTTGAGGGGCACCTCCTATTGAAATCTCACAGACCTCAATCTCAGTCTTTCTGATTATACTGGTTTCTTTTCTCTGTCTCAGTGAATAGCACCACCAGAAATCCACAAGCCATCCAGATTCCCTCCTTAGTACCCCTAAAGTCAACATCTCTGTCTTCTTAAGTCACTACTGCTTCTCTGTCTCTCCTGAGTTGCAACAACAACCAGCCCAACTCTCTCCTCCAGACTTCTTGCCTTGGTACTCCAGAATAATCTTGGTAGTTCTCAAAGCTCAGCCCACTCTCCTGCTTAAAAGTCATTCACCAGCCTCCTGCTGGTGATAGTGTTCGAATTTCTTAGTGTAGCCCTTCAAAGCCCCTTTCAACCAGGCTCCTGTCCATTTCTCTAGCCTAGCACACACTCCTTCCACCCCACCTACCCCCACACATCTATAGTCCAGACCCAAGGGGCAACTTGAAGTGCTCAATAGCGTCCAACTAGTTCACTTCCCCCTGCTCCCCAGTATTCCTAGCTGGGATGCCCATCTTCTCCTTTTCCCTCCAAGCACTACCCAGGGTTCTATTCCTGCTGCAACTTCCATTATGCCTACATAATGCCCAAGTTGTGCTTTTTTTAAAAGTGTGCCTTTCAGCCAGGACTGGTTTGGCTCAGTGGATAGAGCGTCAGCTTGGGGACTGAAGGGTCCCGGATTCGATTCCGGTCAAGGGCATGTACCTTGGTTGCGGGCATATCCCCAGTAGGGGGTGTGCAAGAGGCAGCTGATCGATGACTCTCTCTCATTGATGTTTCTAACTCTCTATCTCTCTCCCTCTCTGTACAAAATCAATAAAATATATATTTCGCTTTATTTTAATTGCTGATTAACAGGCATGTCTCCCCTACTCCTTGAATTCTCATGATGTAAAGCAAATACCAGGAGCATAATAAACATACAGCCAATGTTTGCTGTGTGAATGAATGATGGGTGGATGCATGAATGGATAAGATTTTAACTATCTTACTATAGCTTTTCAATAAAGTTTTCTGACTTTAAAATAAGTATAACTTTTTAAAGATTATTATAAACACAGTTTTTATAGTCATAGGTTTGATGTTATATTCACTTCTTCAATCCCTAGAGTCTACTGAAGTGTCAACTGGATATACTTTCATCATATACATACAATTCCTTATGTTTAGATTTCCGTATCTGCATTTCATTATATTTTTAGGATGTCTCTCTCTTTTAGGCAATGACATCATTGTATCTTCCTCTTGCATCCTTTCTCTAGACCCCTACCATTCTTCCACTTCTGCATAAAGAAAAGATAAATGTGTTAGAATTGTCTCTCTAAAACAAGAGTGAGCACCCTGTGAGTTCTTTAAGAGTCAAGTACACAATATTTGTACCCAGATACCCCTGGCCCTCTCCTCTCCTTGAGTGAGCCTGTCTATCACACTCCCCTAATTAAAACCCATTTAATCATAGTATATCTCTCAGGAAATTGGAGTTGAATTACCATGATATTGCTCAGTTACTGTTGACATCCAAGCTGCAGACTTGGGAACTGAGGCTGCCATTTTAGGAGAGCTACAATGACCCCGTGTCAAGCAGATAAGAGAAATGTGCAGAGAGAAGGAAAGAAACTAGATATTCATAGAGAAGCAGAAATAAGAGATTGCATAACTCTAGAGAAACACAGAAAGAGCAGACTTGATTTCTGGCTTTACACATCTCCACTCTTATTTCCAGGAGACTCTGCCATACCTGTGATAATAGGCTCCCTCAGAGTTCCAGGTATCATTTAATCAAACTTTTTTTTTTTAGGGAAGCTGATTCTGATTTATTTCTGCTCTTTGCAACTAACAGTCCCTGAGACAATGAAAAGAACTACAATTTACTTCTTGTTGACTCTCTCAAGTGCTCTCCCACATCCTGGTTAGGGTAGGTATTTCTGTCTCCACGTTATGGGAGGAAGGAACTGAGCATCAGGAAAATTAAGTAACTTGGACAAATTCATACTCCCAGAATGCACTAGAGTGGTGTTTAGACCTGGGCTATCTGATTCCAAAAGCCATTCTTTAACCACCACATCATACTCCTTCAATGACTCAGTGATATTTATTTTGGGCCTTTGGGCTTCTAGCTTCTTGGCTGACTGGACATATATACGTGAGCTCTGGAAAACTTAAATATATTTGACACCCAGAAAATTAAGACATGGAGCTATAAAGTCATATAACTGAATTAGACCTTGATAGTCATATTTTTAAACACCTTCATTTATAAAAATGGGAATAGAAATACCCAGATCTTAGGTGACTTGTGAAAGATAAAACAGTTTTCAAAAATATTAGATAGATATTAAGTTGCTGGTACTAGAACTCAATTTTATTTTTTAACTTATTTTTGTATCCTCATACCATATTATCAAATCTGCCTCTTCTGAGGTAATCTGATGTGTTTAAGAAATGGGATATCCATCAGCCCTGCCCCTACCATATGAAGTCACTTTTGAACTTGGGACACCGAATGCCACCACCACCCAACCTCAGTTAAAATTTCCCTTGACAATGAATGCTGACAGAGACCTTTTACAACATAGTGAAGGAACTATCTTTTTATTGATTAGAGTAAAATTTATTCACTAAGCGTGTGTGCCATTGTTTAGAAAACCCCTAGCAAGAAATCTACACCCTCATTTCCTTCTTTATTCCCCAATAATTGAGTGCTTTGTATGTGCAAGGCACTGTGCTAGGCCTATTGTGAGAAAATAAAGAAATGTAACAAACAGTCCCTTCCCTTAAAGTATTCACAGTCAAACTTCAACATTCAAGTGATTTGGAAATATAATTTAAATGCACCAATTATTATGTGAAGCAAAGTATATGCTACCTTTCCCCTTCCCCCTTCTACCCACTCCCCCCCCACCCCCCAGCATATGTAAGACTGTAAAAAAACAGGAGACATTTAGCAAGGGACAAATTACTATATAAAATGCAAAATGCCTCTACAATAAAAAGTTGGTTATAGCAGAGTATAATTTATTCTCTTAGCCTTTCTGATAAATGAACCTTTGCATTTTCATATTTTATTCTTAATTTTTAAGTATTAAAGTACGTGCCATGAATGATCAATAGGTAGAGAGGGCTAGCAATACCACAGTGCTTTGAAATTGCTCTGTTAACACCTCTCTCCTGTTTTCTCCAGGGACAGCGTTCCTCACTCATCCCCCTCTCTATTACAGCTGCCCCTGATGATTAAATATCAGTACCGAGCAGCTTTGTAGTATATTCTCCTAGGAGACTTCTGTTCATTTCTAGCATAATCTCTTATACTCATTTCTTGGGAATGAAAACCCATCTTGTCGCTTTCGGCCAGGTCCCAGAAGTGAAATACTGGGGCACATTAATCTGCCATGACAGCCTAATCCCATTCCTCACCACCTCCCAACAATTCTCACTTTCCTAATTACCTTTCATAGTTTTCCTTTTTTAAGTTTTCTATAAGCCATGGCTGCACACTTCTGTTGAGCCTCTTTTTCAAAGCATATGTACATCTGGAGACATTCTGAAGGTATACCTCCTTTCACATGCTATTTTTGGTGCCTGTGCACAGTGCTTGAATGCCTGTAGGAACAGAATGCTTTACTTCAACTTTCCTTTTCATAAGTTTCTCCTGTCCAAAATGGAAAAACTTTGGTGTGTTGGGATGACCTAGTCATAATGAGCATCGTGAATAAGTACTGTAATTTGGAGATTCTTCTCTTCAGCTCTCCTTCTCTCCTCCTCTCTCCACACACCCTGCATAAATATATACAGTATATTCACTATTAAGGCATGTGTGCCCCAAAGCTATTTATACAATGGATATACTTACCACAGAAAATAAAAATGAGATGTGGATTTGAAGTCCATTTTTTCCATGTGTGATTGATTTGAACTGTTGTTGTTTTTTTCAATATTTATATGAAAAAGTAAAAATGTACCTTTACACAAAGTATATTACATGAAAGACATGGCCTCCTTTAAAAAAACTGATCTTATGATCAAGTAAGATTGGTTAATGCTGCATATTATGTTCTTCTCCTGCAGAATCACAATGCTTGTTCTTATATTCTGGGAAGTCTTACAGTGAAGAAACAGTTTATCGTAGACCTAGCATTTTCCAAACGCATTTGACCATGGGCCCTTTTTTTATTCCAGCCCATTGTGCCATTTAACATTCCAAATAACTCACATTTTGTAGAGTATTTTAACAAAGTTTATCCTAAAGATATATTTCAGTTTTTGCCACTAATATCAAGTTTTATGACTTGTGCACTTCACCCTCACCATCCTACAAGGTTCACAGCGTATGTGTTTGTAATCCGAAGATGACATTTTGCTTCCAGAAAGGTGAGCATTGTTAGTATAAGTTGGTCAGAGAAAATGCCCTACACAATTCTATGGGATTGTGAGCTCCTTGAGGGTAACAGCCATGCCTTGCTTACCTTTGTATTCCACATGCCCTGCAGTCTGGCATCATAACTATCATCAAAACTTGTTGATAAATGAATGATAAGTGAATGAATGAATGAATGAATCACAGTGTCTTTATAGCATTTTCATGCATTAGTCTGGTTTGATTGCAAAATCTACACATTTTTGTGATTAACTCAGTATTGTATAAGGATGGAAAATGTAAAATGGAATATTATAAAAGAGAACAAAGAGAGAATCTGAGGATGAAGATGCTCAAACCACAGAAGTCAAAGGCTGCATCTGCACAAACACCCTGAGAGTCCTTCTGATGAAATGCAGCGGTTCAGAAATTAGGCAGTTCAGGGGCAGAGGTGCAGCATGGGAGGCACCAGAGTATTTGTTATAAGCTGTTCCTTAGTTAAAGGAGGAAACAGCATACTCATACTGTAAAAAAGAAAATATAGAGTGACTTTGGGTCATTAAATTGCTTTAACTTTGTGTGGATTCTGCTAAACCAATGTGATGAAGAGACAATGTATTGCATCTTGGCCCTACTTTACATCAAAGGCTGCTATCAGTAAAAGCTCATCCAGGGATGGCTGATCATTAGAAATGAATCACAGAATTCTGAGTCTGTGGTTAGTAGGTATACTAATAGAATTCTGAATTAAGTTTGGCAATATTGTTTTATTTATAACAACCAGCTTGACAAAAAATTGAGAATCGAATATCAGAAATGTATAAGTTACAATCAGCTCTCTCATTATCTAAAGAGAAGAAGTTTAAAAACATGGATGCTAATCCAGAACTTGTACTTACTAGCCCTGTGACCTTGGAAAAGTAGCATAACTTCTCTGAGACTTGGTTTCCTCATCTGCAAAATGAAAAGACAATACTATTTCACGGTTGTTTTCAGGACCAGATAAAATAATGCATTAAGTTGTTAATCTGTTGTCTAGTACATGATAGGTACTTACTCATGATAGCTATTATTGTTAATAACATTATTATAAAATATGTTAACACACTTATCATGATCATCCTTCCAATTTTAACTATAACTTCAGACATACCACTGCAAGCTTATTAACCAAGCAGCTAATATTTTTAAAGACCTGTTCCATGCCAAGCATATGCATACCATATGTAAATATGAAGCATTCTAGAATTTCAAAGGCCAACGCAAATAAAGCCAAGGCACAATACATTGTGTTTTTTGAAAAATGTATTTTCATAAAAATGAAATCTATGTTAAAAATAATATCTAACATTATTAGTCACTGATTATTAAGATTAGCATAACATGTTCATTTATTAAATAGCTAGACGCTCAGTGCATAAAAATTTGTACACCTGGGAGGGAGGTCCCTCAGCTTGGCCTGTGCCATCTCACAGTCTAGAAGCCTAAGCCACAGTCTGGCCTCCCTTTGTGGGAGGCAACAAGCAAGCCTATCAGGGGACTGCCTCCCCCAATCGCCCCTTTGTGCAGCCAGTTGCCACTGTCCCCCCAGCCGCCCCCGATCGCCATCCCTTCCCTCTGCCCACCGAGGGGCTGGCACCCACCTTGGCTCATCTAGTGCTACCCACTCACCGGCCTCCACTGGCCAGTCATTCTGCCATTTGGTCAATTTGCATATTAGGCTTTTATTGTATAGGATATAGATTAAGTTATAGATAACTTTAAAGAAGTAACCCAAATCTCCACCTCTTTAAAATCTAGTATCCTCTTTCTTTTTTTTTAATATTTTGTTGATTTTTTACAGAGAGGAAGGGAGAGAGATAGAGAGCTAGAAATGTCGATGAGAGAGAAACATCATCCAGCTGCCTCTTGCACACCCCCTACTGGGGATATGCCCACAACCAAGGTACATGTCCCTGACCGGAATCAAACCCGGGAACTTTCAGTCCGCAGACTGACGCTCGAACACTGAGCCAAACCAGTTTTGGCAAAATCTAGTATCCTCTTGAGAAATCCTATTCATAATAATCCCTACAGTATTAAACTGTTGCTTTTTTCCAACTTGTGGTCAGCATTGAGTCTTTCCAGGGGCTCCTGAACTGATCATGATTTTGGACTGCTTCACACTGGAGATGGAGGGCAGCTTATGACCAAAATCTTTCATGTTGCACTTGGATGCATTCTTTGCTTCTTTCACTAGCAGAGAAGATGGTGAGCCATCGATCTCCAGTGTTTTCAAGTTAAAGCCAAATTTCCCTTTCAATGTCTGATCTCCTTGCAGTAAACACAAGGACCTGGATGGGTCCTCAACCAGATCCCATTACTTTGCATTAAACCCTAGGATTCTCTGGAGCTCTCTTGATCTTAAGATGCTCTAAATCCTATTCCAAAAGAATTGGAAATAAACACACTTGAGCATTTAAATGAACACTTTGCCAAATTGAAACTATTAATTATTCTACCTAAGCGAAATTTAAAGGTAATTTTAAAAAAATCCTTTAAAGTATCAATTAACATTTTATATATTTACAATGGAAATATCTTTGTGTTTTAATAATTAACTAATAATTAATATAGACTATTATCTACTACATGCCAGGCACTGTAGGTACTTTTAAGTATTCAATTGTATTCTCATAAATAACAGGTGAGGTAGATAGTATTGCCATATTGTTAGAGACAAAGAAACTGCATCTTCACATGATCAAGTAACTGCCCTGACTCTAAATCCAAGAAACTTTCCATGTTTCTACACTGAGATACCATAACATAACTATGGGCTGGAAAACTACAATATAAACTTATCAACTGTACGCATAAAGTAGATTAAATAAAGGCAAAGTATTCACAAGGTCTTTTCCCAGGAGAGTCAAATACATTTGGTATAGACAATTGTTCTGACACTCAGAAGCTGTGTAAGACTTAGTTCATGAAATCTACTCTCTTCCCTAGAGCCAGAAGTTATGCCTTTTATTCTCAGAGCACCCAAAGTACTTTGCTTGCACCTAGAATACCTCTGTGGTATTTCTGTTGTGTGCTGTGTGCCTTATTTTCCTTATGACCACTTCTCATCTCACTTACTAATCTGTAAATATCTTAGTCATAGACTCTGTCTTATTCACGTTTGGTATCATCCACAGCATTTAGGCTAACACAGAGAAAGTTCCCGAAAGGTTTACTGAATAATTAGTGAACTAACAAGCAGTTACCTGTGAATGTATAATATCTGCTCATAGTCCTTTGTGTCAAAGCAGGAAAACAGTTTGATCCAAAGAGCTGGTGTGGGGAATTGTTGACAGGGCACTGACCCTTCTGTCCTCTTTCAGGAGCGGCTCTGCCCTGGCCCAACTCTATGGAACCTCCGCCACCTTAGAGCACCACCATTTTAACCACGCGGTGATGATCCTTCAGAGTGAGGTACGGCCCTAACGTTCTGCTTCTCCCCTTGAAGGAAAATCATTGAAACCATGCCTCCGACCTCTCTGTAATGCCACAGGTAGATGCAGAGAAGTGGAAGAGATTTTTAAGTCAAACTATTAGACCCTTTTGTGTGGCTTTTAAAAATTCAGTTAGATGCCTATCAAAGAATGGGTTCAAATTCTTCCTGACTGAGCTGACTCATTTGGGATTCATTCTTGGCTTGGAAGTGTTTCCCATTCACTTAGCCCAGGAGATGGCCTCCAACTTGCTTACCTTCCTCAGGGCTGCAGAAGCCCGCACACAGGGACATGATCCAAGTAGTGAGTGGCCCAACCTTCCCATTGTGTGAAACTCAGCCCCATTAAAAGAAGGTGGGAACAGGCTGATAAAGTTACAATCTATTAGCACAATTGAGATACCTATATAAAATTAACAGTTAAAAGTGCTGGTGGGATCAGTCTGAAAGTGAGAATCACAGCTACATTTGAGATGCAGGATTGGCAGGACTTGGAAGTGCTTTTCTCCTTTTAGCTCCCACAGAGAAAAGGAAAACCACTACTGACTCTGGATGAGGCGGCATGAACTTGAAATCGCCAGGAAAGGCTCTATTCAGTTTTCTGCAGGCATACAGACTGGTGTGTGTGTGTGTGTGTGTGTGTGTGTGTGACTGGAATAGCATCATTAAATATGGAGGTTTTTCCTCCAGCCTACCTTGGAAAGCATGTCTTTTGTAACATCATGAAGGCCTCGTTCAAACCCATAAGAGAGTGGGCAGTGTAGTGGGGGGCAGGCCAACCACTGGGGAAGACCTCTCTTCAGCTGGGAAGGGAGCAACACAGTTAGGCTTTCGGTAACTGGCAGAAACCAGCATCAGGCATGTGTGGCTCAGAAATTTCCCTATGAAAGCCATGTTTTAGCCGAGTGCTGTGGCAAAGGAAGGCAGGGACAGGAGGCACTTGAGTTCAGGCTGTCTTTTTTGCACTAGTGATAGGATGGGTTATACCTCAAATCCCAGGCACTCCCACCTTTGTCATAACAGGGATTATACACAGGTTAGCAAAGTTTTCTTGAAAGATTATTTTCTTGTTTGTTTGTTTGTGGAAATCCCACTAACACAGAATTTGTCTTCAGACAAATAAAATACCTTGGCTACCCTTCACTCAAGACTTCTCTATGAAGGACTGGAATAATAACATTGTTATGCAGTGAACATGACTAGTGCATGCAGGCCCTGCCCCAGGCTCCCCAGCCCCTCCTGTCCTGACCTCAGAAAGGCAGAACTGCAGATATCATCATCACCCACTTTCTGAATGCAAAGGACAGAGCAGCCAGGTGGGCAGGCAAATGTACCCAGACCTTTCTTCCTCCACTTGCTTCTCTTTCCATCCACCCTTCTCCCTAAACCAGGGGTAGGGGACCTTTTTACTGCCAAGGGCCGTTTGGATTTTTATAGCATTGTTTGTGGACCGTACAGAATTACCACCTTAAAAATTAGCCTGCTATATTTTGGTCAGACATTTAATCAACTCATCCCTAATGCCTGGATAGGGCCAGATGAAATGATTTTGCAGGCCTTATATGGCCCCCAGACCCAGCATTCTCCACCCCTGTGCCTAAACAAAATGGAAGCAGTATTTCAAGGACACAAATCTATTTCCAGGACCAAACTCTTGAGGCCCTGGAAGAAGCCAATTTGCATATAAACAGTACATTGATTGCAAATTAATGTGGGTGTTGTTGTTTTTTTTAATCAGCAGCATCTGTAAAGCACAATGAAGCAAAGCACAATAAAGTGAGGAGTGTCTGTCCTTCTTTCGCTGGGAGATGGTAGACGTGTGGCTGAATCCCAGGCACTACTTGTCGGTAGCTTCCAACCACCTTTTCTCAGGCCCCAGGATACCAGCTTGTGATTGATCCACAGGGCAAGGTTCGGGCAAAGAAAACGGGCAGAATTATAGCATGGCATTCCTTTAGTTATTTGTCTTCTTCCTAATGGTTGAATTAAGGGTCTTGAGGAGTTCATTTGAAAATTATTAACAATATTGGACCTGGTCCCATGTGGAACCAATATACTGTAGTCTTTAACAAGTGGTGGGTTCACCCAAGGAGATAAATTAAGTCGGGGAAGCAGATTTTCATCTGGTGCCTGGTAGGCGGTAATTTACTAATTGATATTCTGGTTCCCAGAAATAATTAATTTACTTCTCATTGGGAAACAGTTTATTCTTAGACAGTCATTTCTCCCCTCCTTCTGCACCGTCTTCTGGATCCCATGCCTAGGTATCAGACTGGTCCAGTTCCCGGGCCCAGTCTGATATGAGTTCATGTTTATGAGTTTGTACTTCATGCTAAGAAAACCTGATAAATGAGAAGGCCTGACTTTCAAAGCAGATTAAGTGGATTGTCTGTCACTTTACAAAAGGATTTTCCACTTCACTAAAACCATTCTACAGCTGCCAGTGTAGCTAAAACACATTTTGATAAAGTGTTCTTTTCAAAGGTATGGGAGATACAGGTGTGTTTTCACATTTTCCTAGGTGAAAGTCATCTTTACAGTATCAAGAACTCTGCTGAGAACAGTATCGTATACATTCTAACTACTCAGGAAGTATGTACTGAATTTAATCTGCCACACGCTTCATCAAGACGATCTTCACGGTTTAATACAGGGTTTCTCAACTTCAGCTGCTCTGGCCTGCTGGGCCCGGTTCATCTTTGCTATTCAGGCCAAATTGTGCATTGTGGGTCCTTTAGCAGCATCCCTGGCCTTGCCCCACTCAATGCCAGTGGCACCCGTCACCAGTGTGACAATTAAAAATATCTCTGAACATTGCTCAAGTCACCTCCAGTTAAGAACCTCTGGCCTAATTTTTTCTCCTCCTTAAAGTCATTTGTTGACATAGTAAGTACTTCCAAAATGCCAACTTCAGTTTTAATTAGTGAAATTAGTATTTATTTTAGGGTCATAAAGATTCCCAAATGTTTTGTTAACTTCTGCATTCAGTAATTCCACAGGAAATGGGTAGTCAAATGGAGTTGTTAGCACAAATACACCCAACAGGAAGACAAGGTCAACATTTTTCAGAGTTTGCTCTTTGAGACTAGAGATAACAAAGAGTCCCTTGGTAGTCCTCAAAAATGACTGCACTTTCTGGCTTTGCCGTTTGCCAGGGACTATGTCTGAATTTGTGCAAAATTTCATTAAGCTTTTTAAAAAATGATTTGTCATGTTTTTCCCATATATATTTACTATATATAGAAAAAATGCAATATATATGTAATATATATAGGAAAAACATACAATCAAAAACTCATATTTAATGGGGATTTTTTTGTGACTTTTTACTTTCTCATTACAGGGTCATAACATCTTTGCTAATCTGTCCTCCAAGGATTATAGTGACCTCATGCAGCTTTTGAAGCAGTCGATATTGGCAACAGACCTCACGCTGTACTTTGAGTAGGTATCGGCATTTGGTCCATTTGACAAATGGATATCTAAAGTTTCATCCTGTAATTAATTTCCAGGTGCAATTGGGGGGTTGGTTGTCTGTTGTTCTAGCACTGGTAGCAATGTGTAAAGGAGCTAAACCGTTTGCTTTATTTTTCCCTCAGCTAAATAAACTTTATTAAGGTGATGTGTGGAAGATAAGAAAATCAGGACTACCATCACAAGGTTTAGAGCTTTCTTTATTTTTTATCATCCTTGTGTGGAACTCTTACTCTGAAACTAAGAGATGGTCATTTTTATTTTAAAGACTATGCTTTCTATTTTAGACTATTATTTCTCTTCAGATCTAAAATGGCATTGCTGATGCTAATGAAAAAGGTTTGTTGCTGGAAGGTTGACTAGAATTCCAAGCCTTTAATCCTTGCCTCTCTTCTAATTCTCTTTCTTAGAAAAGCTGCCCTCCTCATCCCCCTTTTTTTTCTCTTTCAGTTTTAGACCTCCACCTGAGCTGGAAATCCCGTCCCTCTCATTTCCTCTAAGATCTGTTCTAACAGGGACCACCTCTTTCGGAAGCCTGGAAATATCTTCTTTTGCTGATATACAGGTGTTTTTTTTTTCTTAAAGACCAAACAATTTTCCTTTCTTTAAAAATTATTTCACTTACCCCATGGAGATCTTAATTGCTTTTCAATTTAAATTTCTTTTAATGCCTACCTTTAAAGATAAATAAATGGAGCACATTTGTACCTTTGTTTCCCTAACACCTGTTTTACCTTAAAGAGTAGCGTTCACCTCCACATTCTATCAAAATTAGACTTTCAGAAGTCACCAGAGACTTCCTTGTCCCCAAATTCAATGTCCTTTACTCATTTCTAAGATAGTTTAACTTCTTAGAGAAATCTGAAGATTTACTGACTTCTCGCTGCCAATTTCTACTCTCCTTTCTCCCCCCAATATCCAGCTTCCTTTCTCTCCCCTTTTCTGGATCCTTTCTAAGTGTCTTTTCTCCTTACTCCTTTGGTGAGTTCTTGAACCCATGTTCTTCCTTCTCTATTTAGATTCACTCCCCTGGTTGTATCTCTATAATATCTTTATACCATAGAAGACTGAAATTCTTCAGTCTAACCCTAGACATGTTCCTCTAACTTCTGTTGCAAAAGCCTTTAGGGGCTTCTTTGCTTTCAAAGTAACCTTTAAACTTGGTTTGAGTTTCAAGCCCTTCCATAATCTGCCCCCTACCTGTTTTTTCATTCTTTTATTACACTTTCCTCCTACATGATTTGTCTTCCTTGACCAGACTGGTCTACGTGTTATCCTTTAAAACACTTATGCAGTGCCCCTTGTGCCCCAATCAAATTACTGTTCCTACATGGAATCTTAACCCTTTAGTTATCCATCTTAAAATACCCTTTAAGGTTCATCTGTTCCTACCACCTTTTCCTCATTATGTCACTCCCTTTGTAATCTTACTGCACTTTGGCATTAGATCAGTATTAGATTCTATTAGATTAGATAGTATTAGATTCAATTATAAGGGACCAAGAAAATAACAGTGGCTTTCTTCTCTGCCACACAGAATAAGACTGGAAATTAACAATCTGTAGTTGGTAGAGTAACTACATTAAGTCACCAGGGACCCAAATACTTTGGTCTTTCTGTGCTGCCACTTTCAACACATAATTTCTACCTTAATCCAAGAGAGCTACTCAATGTCCACCCACCTCCCAGTGGACAGAAAAAAGGAAGGAGTGAAGAAAAAAAAAGGCCAAAAGGTGATGCAAGTTATCTTTTAAAAGAGTTTTCTGGAAACTCCCAGAACACTTCCACTTACATTTCATTGGTCAGAATTTAGTCATTTGGCCATACGTAGGTTGAAGGAAAGTTGGAAAGGAAGCCTTAATTTTGGTACAGTCCTGTGCTGCACAATAACATTTTGGTCAACAACAGATGGCATATACAACTGGTATACCATATAGTCTAGGTATGTAGTGGGCTATGTCATCTAGGTTTGTGGAAGTGCACTCTGTGATGTTCACACGATGATGAAATTGCCTAGTGACACATTTCTCAGAGGGATCGCTGCTGTTTAGTATCTTGTGACGGTAATCACTGCTCCACTAAAAACTAGGACTTCTATAATGAAGAAAGAAAGGGAGGAGAGGTTCTGGAGTAGACAACTGACAGTGTATGCCACACATTGTTATTGTAGGCTCTTGCTGAATGTATTATTATGTGTAAATAGTGGAAGGAGTAAAGGCTTTAGAATTACTAGTCTGGATTTAAATTTCATTCTGGCATTCTAATTAAACCAGGTGCATTGAGCCCAAGTGTCTATTGCTTCTCCCTTCTGAAATCTTGCTAGATTGGCAAATGAATTTAAAAGGAAAAAGGGGGACAAATCTGCAAGGGAAAAAGACGGGGCATACAATAACTGATAGATGTCAACACATTTGTAGAAACAGAAGGCCAGCTGATGAATGGTAACTGGTTGAGCAGAGTAGAAGTGAAAAGTAGGACCCACGGAGGAAGACAGCTCTGAGAAGCAAGCCCATTGGCCCTGCAGAACTTCACTGGGGGCTTGGAGACAAAGGCACCATGAAAAGTGGATTTGACACTTGGAGCTTAAGACAAGGTGATTACTAGAAGGTCAGTTTACAGAATACCCAGCGCCCATGAAGTCTTCCACCAGCATAGTGATAACTTCCTTTCCCCTACACTTGCAGAAGGCCAAAGGATTATTCTCTGGAGAAATGTAAGAAAGAGCTCTGAAGTGGGGAAATGAGATGCAAAGCTCAGAAGAAGGGATGACGCAGAATGGAAGGAGTCTATGCATTCAAACCCACACCCATAGTCCAGTCACCAGAAGCTAGAAGTCCATAAGCTACACACTCAGGGTTGTCAGATTTAGCAAATGGAAATTCAAGAAGTCCAGATAAATTTGCGTTTTGGATAAACAAATGAATATTCTTTAGTATAAGTATGTCCCATGCAATGTATGCATGGAACATGAGACACACACAACTCCAGCTCAATCTTTTAATGTCTTGCTATTGCACACAAAAGGATAACAAGGATCACACAACATTGATATGAAACAGAGGCTAAAACAACCAGCAAAGAAGTAGAATCAAAGAAAACAAGGAGAGGAAGAAAACCAAAAACTATCATTAATATCCTTAAGAAGCCAAGATATTTCATTCATGAAACAAGAATATGATGCTTAAAAAAAAATTAGGAAAAACCATAGAAGAAGACAGAGCTCTTGGAAATTAAAAAGCATAATGGCCAAAGTGAAAAATCAAATGATAGCATTGGGAAATACAATCAAAGTATAATAAAGCAAACCTATTGAAAATACTGCTTTATTTTATTATATGGTTTACCCGTGAACGACACAGGTTTGAACTGTGCAGGTCTGCTTATACAGATTTTTTTTTTCAATAAATACAGTCAGCCCTTGGCATATGTGGGTTTCATATCCCCATATTCAACCAGCCGTGGATCTAAAACAGTCTTTTCAGTCCTCTGTTGGGACTCTGCAGATGTAGAGGGCTGACGATATACATTGTTCAATACCATTTTATATAAGAAACTTGAGCCTCTGCAGATTTTGGTATCTGAGGGGTCCTGGAGCCAATTCTCCAAGGAGTGATGGAAGTATTTGGAAAGTAAAAATTTATATGCAAATTTTCAACTGTGTGGGATTGACATCCCTAAGCCTAGCATTATTCAAGGTTCAACTGTAATGCTTTTTAGAAATATTAGGTTTGTTAACTATGTTCACGTAGTATTTTAATAAATATACATTTTTAATCCCAGCTCTACCACTACCTAGCTGTGTGTCAGATGAAAGATATACCTCTCTGAGCCTTTTTTTCCCATGTGTAAAATAGAGATAATTCCTATGTTATCTGTCTTATGTCTTGTAAATGTCATGTATGTTTTATAAATGGCTACACCTACAGCCTCATTTGCTTTATAGCCTATTTATTTTGCATGTTTAGTGGTTTTCATGTTTGATTTAACTATCATGATCTTCCCTCTCTTTCTGAATGGATGCATATTGATTTGAGATTTATCAAAGCTTGTATCACTTTCATATTTTTCTTTCCTGTCTCTGACACTTGTAAGATTTTGTTATTTTCCTCATAGTAGAAGCATTTTCCCAAGCCAAGTTTCCAAGTAATTTCTAAGGGGGAAAAAAGCCTCAACAGTTGGAGTCCATTTATCAAGCCCTGTTAGCCATGTGACGAATCACCAAGTGACCGCTGGAATGCAGTCAAGGAAGTGGCTGCAACCCATTTTCTCATTACTCTGCTCTTATCTTAATGCTGCAGCCACTGCTAATGTCTGCTGACTCCCAAAGAAGCTGCTAGCTCTCTTTTTTGTCACCATTATTGTTTTCCAAGGTTCTGAATAGCTGTTCATTCCCTAATCTGGACCTTCAGGAGGCTGATTCACTTGCCTGTCTAAAGTTGCATTAAGGTGTTGCCATATTTTTTTAGCCAAAACAATCCCTAGGGTTAATGAGGGAGAAGCAACTACTACAAACAGCCACCCGGCTGCTTTTATTTCACAATTATCTAGTGTGGGGCTGGAAGGGATGCTAGAGATGATGTAATCTAAGTCATCTTTTTCTTGCACATCACGTACTGAGTTCGAAAATGTTGAAGAGTATCGCTTGGGTCATATATAATTAGTGGCTATATTGGAACCCACACTTTGCTAAAAATTACACAAAATCTTGCAAGTGTCAGAGACAGGAAAAAGCCTCCTCTTTTATGTTTTTTTCCCACAATTGCTATATCCATCCTCTAATTAAAAAATCAAGAAAGACTTGTCATTTGAATTGGGGCTAAATTCCACGGCAATATTGACCTTCCCAGCTGTACATTAGTTGGTTTACTCTGAGAGGCAGCCTGAGTTCCCCATGCCCTCTTCCAAAGCACAGACAAGGGCTTGCAGGCGGGCAGGTTGGTTTTAGAGGTGACATCAGAAATAGGCGTAGG